AAATATATATATATATATATATATATATATGTATATAAAATCATAAACGTTATGGTTTGTTGATTATAAATATATAGATAAATGGTGGAGATAGTTGGATCATAGTTTTCCAACTAGATCGATTTGAAATTGGAATATAAACATATTTAAATACAATTTTAGAAGTATTTTTAACACCTTTTCTATTAAAAAAAATATTATTTATTTTAGATAAAGAAACTTAAAAAAAAATGTTTAGAATATGAGCAGATTCATTCAAATTAAAGGAAAGGAACATATTAGAGCATCAAATACTTTGTTTGTCGCTTATAACTTGCATTTGAATAACTGGTGGTAGGTATATCTTCCTGTGCTTTAAAGGATTAGGACATGCAGAGTTCTTTTAAGAATTTCTGTAGTTACTTGTGACAGTTTCTTTAGCGTGATTTATGTTTTTTAATATCATATTTGAATGATTTTGTTCCACGCTCTACCACAACAAGCAGATATATGATCCAATAGATTTTGAATGCATTAACAAGCTTGACTTTTGGGAGGTAGAAGAACAACTGAAGAAGAAACTTGAAGTTTGATAATGATAATCATCTAGTAATGCTCATCGAGAGATAAATTATCAAGTGGTCATGGACCACATGACTCTAACTAGTATCTATATGATATGTAATTAAATGTTATTATTTTTAAAGGTTGAAAAGTTTAAATATATATTCTATAGTGATTGGTTAAGATAATTGATATTTCCCTAACCTATATTAATAATTTCTTTGTAGGAAGAGTTGAATTTTGGCCAATTGATGTTTATATGGACTTTTGAAACATTGTCCGAAAGGTAAAGGACAATGAATACTTTTATGAGAGTATTATATTGCTTAGGTAGGAAAAACATGTTTATAGTTTTAATCCTTATTATGTATATGAAATAAAATATGTTGTGTGTATTCTCATAATTCTTAACAAAAATTAATAATTATTTTTTATGATAAATATTTTGTGTCAATACAATGCTAATAAAAAAAATACGAGAGAAAAAAAAATATAATAAAAAGAAAAAATTATAAGGAGTTAATAAGGTATCCTAATAAATATTAATTTTCAATCCAATAAATAGATATTAGTTGCCATTAATTTATTTTACTATTTAGGAAAGAAACTTTTATTTACTTCAATTAAATCCTTAACTAATTAAGTTTTTTTTTTCCTTCTTCTTTTATATAGTGTTTCATTCGAGGGAATTGGGGAGAAGGAGATTTTTTATTTTTTTTAAAAAAAACTTTTGCTGTATGATTCAATTTTTAAAGGAATGAAGTCTAACAATCCTTCTTCATCTAATTTTAGTCCTTTAATATTGAAAAAATTTAGAGGAGAAATTTTTTAAATATTTTAAATGTAATCTCTAAAATATTCTTATTTATGTTTTTCAATTAAAACTATAAAAGAGTTACCTTTTTCTCTCTCTCCCTTCTTCTTTATTAAAATCTTTTCCTTTCTTTGAACCACACAAACCTAAATTTAAAATTATAAGTATTTTAATTTAAAAATCTAATTATTGTTTGAAAAAGATTTAATCCTTTTGGATCATAAATCCCTTTTCTTAGTAACATATTTTGTGGAGTAAAAAAAATGTTCGATGGTGTTTTATATTATTCAAATGTTGCTTTTCCCCATGGAACAGCAAGTTATTGCTGCGACTTACGATTATTCTTCTCTGATCTTAATTAGTTTTTGACAGCAACATAATAACTGTTTATCTATAAATCAACTGTTTCAAAATTCCTAAAATTTATTGAGTAACGTAGAATTTCTCAAAATTATAATAACAAAAATGCAAATAACCAACCAACTAGAGTGGCCTAGTGGTGCTGCTGCTTCTGCTTTATGCAGATATGATCATAATGCTTCTGCTTCCACATCTATGTTGCTTTTTTTTTTTTTTCAAAATTTTTTTTTATCTTACCCAGTTTTCTTATTTGTATTAACTATTTAATTTATTTATTTTGGGGTGATAATCAAATTGTAAGTCCTAAATAGTCAAGATATGGATTCTGCATTATACATGTTAGATTCAAATGTAGCATTAACATATTGGACACTTTTCTTACTGCCTTTGGAAAAACTTGTATTCAAAAGAGAAGGTGCCTTTAGGAGAGGCTACGAAGGTTGGCTACTATAATTAAAAAAAGTTAAATTGTCAACTTTCGAAGAAACAACGTATGGTGTTGGCATGCGATTTGGAACATTTTCCCACCATCATGACATTGTAACCCAACCCAACATGTGATCCATAGTAGATTGGATTGCCATGCCAACTTGTCATCTAGTATCATACTGTATAACGTTGCCGGCTCTAATAGTAATTGACCCGCTTTGTCATTTTCTAAATTAATGCATAAAACAAGAGCAAAAATGTTAGAATTTAAAATGTTTTACTTAACTTGTTTTTAGAGTTTTACAATACTTTAGATTTTGAAGTTGAAAACTAAAGTTTTAGTTTCAAAATTAAAGTAGTTTCTTTGTGTATATTAGAATTTGAAATAAAGGAAAAAAGTAAAAGTCAAAAGTTTTTTAAAAAATTGTTAAGAGTTTCTTTTAGTTTTTTAAATAGCTCTTTTATTTGGTCAAATTTCTCCTTTAAAGGAAAAAAATTCACAATAAGTTCATACTTACATTGTCTAAACATAAAAAAAAAGGGAAAGCAACTAAATTGGAAAATGATATGTGGAGAGATAGAATATTTAATACTCATTTTGAATCACTTGTTTAATAATTTTGTTTAAGCTTTTAATAAAAGTTTAGGCAAGAAGAGTTTTTGCCAAGGAAAAGGAATTGTCATAAGCTCGGATAAATGAAGAATCAACAAACTTTTAATTTCGATTCTTATGGTTGAGTTTCAAATCTGAAATTAATTGGACATAAATATAATTTAGCTTTTTAGCCATACTATAGCAATTAATCATGGATAAAACAGTGTAAGAGATATTTCTGGCGTGTGCCAAGGTGGGATGGACCCAAAGAACACAAGGAATAAAATCCAGGCATTAAAAAATGAACAGAAGACGATAAAAAGAGAGTAAAAGAGACAGAAAAAACACTAGGTGTTAGATCTTGAAGGATCATCACCTCTTCACGGACTAAACAATCTTTAAATCAAGAATGCTACTATCTTGCATATTGGACACTATTTTTGGTAGTGAAACTTTCATTGTGGCCCAACTAAAGAGGGATACAATTACCCTTTGGTGAAGAAGAAATACAGTTAAGACAAAAGAAATGACTGAGAAATAAAAAAGTTGAGTATGCTTGGTAGAGAGGAATAAAAAGAGGTGAAAAATAAAAAAAAAAGATTTATTTTCACTTCATTTCTCACTTATTTATCTTTTTATTAATTACTTTTCTAATTTTCTTAAACAAAAAGCTTTTATTTTAACTAAAATTTCACCTATTTTCTTTCACATTTTTTTTCCTTTATATTCACCTTATTTTCACATTTTTCTTTTTTCTTATCAAACGGACCCTTAAAGAATAAAATGTTAAGTTATAAAATTAATAATTATAATTTAAAAAATTCCATAATCTATTACCATTTCAATAGTAATTCTAAAATAAATGTTTATAACTTTTTTGTATTTTTTTTAATAAATAAGAGGGATATTTAGAACAAGGACATACATTCTTAATATTATTGGATGACATATTAAGACTGACAACAAAAATTCACCCAAAGTATTACTACACAAATATAGCTTGCAAACAGTTTTATTCGGTGGCTAAGGAAAAAAATAGAGAATGAAAAATTACTTCAAATCCTTAACCACATGTACTAATTCAAACGTTTTTTACTTAACGAACAGTTATAACTAAAGAAATTGTATAAAGTGATTCATAAATATTGGTTAATTTATTAACAATATTGGATATATGTTTGTTGGTGTGAAATGTGATCAGCTATTGTGTTGGTTAACATCTATTGATTCTTGAATTGGACAATTAACATGAGGAAGAGATTGTGTTCCTTGATAGGATTCTTGGTTCGCTACAAAGAACTTTCCAGCAATTGTAAATTGAGATTATGTGGTTTTCTTAGTTTTAGTGAAAAGCAGTAAAGAAAGCTCATAAAAATACTACAAAGAAAACTGTAATGACCTAAACTTGAAGGAAAAACTGTAAAATTAAGCAAATGAGATAAATTAGATTGATCTCGACCCTGATCACAACGTTTGTTCAATATTTAAAAGGCTTGAAACAATTAGAATTGTTACATATTTTTAACAAAAATCAAATAGTACCATTTTTTAAAATGTCATTTACTTTTTACTTTATTTTTAAAACGTGCTACATATAAAATAAAATAAAATTTATAATTTATAATTTTTTTATTCACTCTATGCTAAAAAGAGGGCCAAAGGGCCATCAAGAGATTTTACTAAATAATTGAAAATTTTAGAAATGAAATGAAATTGAAAAGATAAAATTTGTGGTGTTTGTATAGATTTACATCTCCCACCTCTATTCCTCCGGTGGAGAGAGAATATTCTTTGGTCACCATCCTTAACGGACAAACCGAAACGTGTTCGTTTCGTGGGATCCACTTTCCAATCCAATCCATGTGACCCTTTTGGACTCTCATCTTCCATTTTCTCTTTCGTCCGAATATTCCACGCTGCATCCACGTGGCTCCCTCCCACCGTTGGATCCTCCTCATCTCCCTTCGCATCCAACGACCACAACACGCACCAAAGCAAACACCTCACCCTTTCATTAAATAAACGTAGTATCCACGATGTTACTTCGGATTCGTCGCCGAGATTTCCTCTAACATGTTCCTCAAACAATTCTATGTAGCTGCTAATTTCTACAATCTCATATTAATATCAATATAATATCATGTACATGCATTAATGCATTGCACCTAAACGATGCCATGCCTTAATGCATCATATAATAATTTATTACTATAAACAAAATAATTGAATTACTGTTGCAAAAGAGCATTATATAAGCCCATCAAACGCCGTATTTAATGCTTTTGTTATTGCTAGTGTTGCTTCCTACGCTGTTGAGCCATTTTTCTTTGTCACAAACACTGGTCCTCTGTTTGTGTCTTATCAATGATGTTCTGTTATGTTCTCCTCTGACTTGTTTGGTGTTTATGGTTTCGTTCCTATAGGTTATGATTGCCAACAATCAGAGTGTGATTGCTAACATATTCTTCCATTAGCAAAAACATGGTTCACTAGTTGCATAGGGGTATATGGTATATGGTATATCCCTCTCTTTTTCCTTTCTTCTTTTCCACTTTTGGGATAGAATGAAGGCACGGTTTGGCTGAGAGGTATAAAGCAAAACCTGCAAGTGGGGGTTGTTCGAATTTGCTTTTTGTAAGTTGAAAAGAAAAGAAGGGTAGTTGAAGGTGAAGTGTGAAGTGGGTGATGGAGGGTGGAGGAAGAGAAAGTTACAATGGAGTGGTGATGACTATGACAAGAGACCCGAAGCCAAGGCTAAGATGGACAGCAGATCTTCACGACCGGTTTGTGGATGCAGTCACAAAGCTTGGTGGCCCCGATAGTATGTATAATTTTTTCTTTCTTCTTCAATCATATTAGTTGGTGGTGTTGTTGATACACAAAAGTTAACTTTAAAAGATAAGTTAAGGTTGTAACTTACGTTGAAACAAGGTGAGAAAATTAGAAAAAGTGAAACAATGGGGTGCTTTTAGATTTTAGAACCTCCAATTACTTGCTGCAGCACCAAATCAAGAAATTGGTGTGTCACAAAAATAAAATTATATATTGTATACTATACTATCAAGCAAACTTGTATTGGTGTAATCTGATGCTGATGTAGCCCACCATTTCTGCTTATAAAATTATAAACTAAAGTGGCTTTTGGTTTTTGCCTCATTTGTAAGTTCTTTTTAAGGTACGAAACTTTGATCACTTTCCTTCAAGATTATACTCTAGGGGTTTTGCTTGTACAGCTAATGTACTCTGGGCTAATCCAATATTAGTTTACTAAATGCTTACCATATTGAAAATTTTCTAATCTTATGTCTAAATGCTTGTGGAGGTTTTCGCATGTTAGAAAACGACATTAATCTGAATTGGTTTGTTTTGTGTTCAGAGGCGACTCCCAAGTCTGTTCTGAGGTTAATGGGCTTGAAAGGTCTGACACTATATCATTTGAAGAGCCATTTACAGGTAATCAGTTTTTTCTCTTTTTCTTCAGCATTTTACATATAATAAACCTCATTGATTCATTCACTAGGGTACCTTTTAATTGGTATAGAAGGAAAAGTAAATGGACAAGTGAAAAGAAAAAGTATAAGTTATTTTGATTTGATGTTATCATTAATTAATTAGTACCATAAGATAATATTGTAGAAAGATGGAAACAGATTAAAATAGAAACATGGAGGGCTGAAAATACTGATATTATTAGTCCATGATATTTTGGAATATTTGAAGTAGAACACCTCACTCATGTGCCGGCTTTTCTCTCCATCTTTTTTTTCCTTTCTTTTTCTTATAGATAATTTTTTATGCTTTGTATTGTAATGTACTGACTGACTATTGTTCAAATTTGTCTTTCCTGTTTGTCCTTCATTTTCTTGTATTCTCCCAACCATCATCAAAGAATTTCCATTTGGAGGCTTAATTTGGTATTGCTTGTTATTTGTTAATTTGCAGAAGTATAGACTTGGACAGCAGGCTCGAAAACAAAATGAAGAACTGCATAAAGAGAATAGTAGTGAGTCCATTTCAAGTTTTGACAAACACTTAGTATCACATTCAATATTTTAATTAACTATCTAGAATAGTTCGACCAACTTCTCCCTCTGAGATTTTATCATTCTATTTACCTTACAAGCTATTTGCTTAAAATCGAGAACATAAGATGTGGAAATGTTTGATAATATTGTTTCCATGTTTCTGTTTCTTTTAAGGATGTTCGTATGTAAATTTTAGTAATCGTTCTTCAGGGCCTAACACCAGTCACAGAGGAGATAATGAAGGGGGGTATGTTAAAATTTAAGCAATCATTTCACTTCTTTTTTTAGATTACACGCATTTCCATGAGCCAAATTCTTATCAAAATTTCTTATCTCCATAATTAGCTTTTTTACTTTTGTGTAAATGCAACTCACAGCATGCATGATGCACTTGTTTAGTTTCTCCTTATCCTAACAAGTTTTTCATAACCAAAATAGAGAAATTCCAATCGCAGAGGCGCTAAGACATCAGATTGAAGTTCAAAAGAGGTTGGAAGAGCAGCTAGAGGTATTTATCATTTTTAACTTGCATAGTTTTACCATGTCTAAGAAAATTTTGTAGTTCAATTGTAGAAAATCTTAATTAACTTGTGCAAAACTTATTTCATGCCAATAGGTACAGAAGAAATTGCAGATGAGAATAGAGGCACAAGGGAAGTATTTGCAAGCAGTGTTAGAGAAAGCTCAGAAGAGCCTTTCCCTGGATGGACCAGGCAGTATTGAAGCATCAAGAGCTCAGTTGACTGAATTCAACTCTGCTTTGTCACATTTCATGGAAAATATGAACAAAGATAGCAAACAAAACATAATAGACGTGAATGATTTTTATAGTAAGAGCCATGGCTCAGCTTTACAATATCAGGAAGTAGTGAGAGGAGAAAATAGGGACCAAAAGCCTAAAGTTGAAGGGGGTTCAATACAGTTTGACTTAAACATCAAAGGTAGCAATGACCTTGTATCTGCAGGTGGAGCTGAAATGGATGCCAATATGATTTCGTATAGGGTATAAAATTTTTTAATTGTCACATGTTTAACCATTGAATTGAATGATAGATAATGTACCCTTCCCCTTGCTATTCTCCATAATTTTCTCCCTCTCTTTTATCAACTGAAGTTGCATATCATGACAGCGTGTTATCTCTACCTATTCCAAAGGAAATTTGTAGTCCATGCTTTTAGTGCTATTTTCCTTTTAAAATTGAAGTTTCAATTCTATAGTCCATTATTCATGTTCTAGTAGTAATTGGAACTTGGAGACACAACAGAACATACCAATGCAATACTGTTTATTAACCTTTCCTTTCCCTGTTTCAAGGGACATCTTAATACAATTATGGATAATTCAATCTCAAGATTGCACGTTCAATTTTATGGCACAAGGGACTTCTTAATGTAGAATGAAATTTCACAATTACAGAAAACATGATAACAAACCATTCAACTGACAAATAAAATAACTAACAAGTAAGGTCAGCAATATTTTATTATAACAACACCTAATTTTATTGTTTTTGGTTGGTCAAATAAGTAATTTTTGAAGCTTATAGTCTCATCAGATCACACAAACACTCTTAAGTATTCATCCATGCGTGTGTACTTCACTTCTGGATAAAGCTCTGAGGCTTCTTCTCCACCTTCTCCAATTTCAAAGTTTGTCAAACACCCTTCATAGAAAATATGATAGAAATGCCCCACTCCCACTTGGCTAGCATAGTCCAAACCTGGAATTCACATGAATTAAAGTCACATTTTTATTGATATGAACTAATCCAAAATTCCATTTGTTTCTCTTTGGGGTGTATTTTTACCTTTCATGGAAGCAAGAAAGTCTTGTTCACTTATGCTTGACTTCTCTAGTTCTTTTCCTACGAGTTTCTCCCACTTCTCAATTAGTTGTCTTTGAGTGAGAATGTTTTCTGGTGGTCTTAGGTACACCGTCTTGTTCAACGTTCGAGGATCATCAATTGTCTTAATAGTGTATGTGGCCACATCATCTTCATCCATGAAAACAACTGCATAGTGAATTCATCATTAGAATAAAATACTAGATCACGTGTGATTAATTTCTTAAACTTTTTGTTTATCCATCATAATTATAATATCGGCATGATTCAAAGGATATCTACATGCTATTTCAACTTCTGATCCTAGTAATTTAATTAATTTCTTAAACTATGAATACAATTGACACACTATGCCATATATGTAATAAATATATGAAAAAGTATTAATTTGAAAATTAGGTGTACCTTTGACATTGGCATCACCATAGAGAAGAACCTTGTCTCTTGGAGGGAGTAGGGTCCCCATTTGAGAGAGGTTACCAACAAAATATCCCGCAAAGCAGTTAGCAGAAACGTAAGTGAAAGGGATGTTGGCATCCTCAATAGCTTTTCTTACAGTCATTTTCTCATCAAATGTGACTCTTCCAGGTTCAAGTGCATGCCCCATAAGTGCTGGGTCCATGCCAAATTCTGAAGGCAAGAAACGCTAGAGAAAGAAACAAATTGTATATATTTTTGGTTACTAACAAATGTGATTCAGATATAAATTAAATCGTATGTGACCAAATCAAGATTACATTATTACATTATTTTAAGCAGTTTTTTTTCCCCAACATTATTTTCCACTTCTCTTCAGCTGTTGTATTTTTGAGCTGATAATTTGAAAATCCATTACCAAACATTTTTTTAGTTGTATCAAACAAGAATTCTTCTACCTAAAAAGTTGTTGGTAAAAACTTAAGGTCTCTAATTTAAATCTTAAATAAAAAAATAGAATAAAAAAGAGAAATTTTATTAAGAATGGCAGGCCGAAAATTATTATCAACAAAATGAAAACTGTTATGTAATGTGAAAAATAAAAGTAGTAAATCTAAGTCATAATCATAAGACATTTAAAAATTAAAATATAACATTTATTTTTATCTATCAAAATTATAATGATGATACTTATATTTAAATATAAGATTCTATGCATATTACTTTAACCTTTCATTATTAAGTTGACTCTTGTGCTTAAAGATATAATATATTGATTTACTTTAACTTATTTTAAGGACTAAACATTTATTTTTAAAAAACTTCTTAAAATAAATAATTATTTATTCAGATTTATTTTTTTCAAACGTATGATGTTAACTATAATTATTCTGTCTAATAAATTTCAACATAAATTAATGTGTTACCTCATATTTGTGTTGCAAACAAGTACCACATCGTTAAAATAAGACAAGAAATAACAACTTATATAATATAAACACACTTCAATGATTGAGAGGCTTTTTAGGTAATGACCAAAAGCAAATAGTGAGGACTTAGGTTCAAAGCGGACAATATCTAATTATTGTGGAGTATGCTTGTGTAATAACCATATAAAAATGATTATAATAAAATAACCCCATCAATATTAAAAATATGCTTAAATATCTTTAGGAAAATAAATTAGATTTTGATAAAAATATTTGATTTATATTTCAAATATTTAGATTTAATCTGTTTTGATTATTTTAGGATTTATTTCCTTGTTTTCTATAATAGGATATCAATATATAATTTTATATAACAATTTTTCTCTATAAATAGAGACTCGTAAATAAAATTAGATTATGCTCCTCTAATCAAAATAACTCTTATAAAATATTTCCTCGTAAATAACATATCAATTTGAAAGGAGATCCCACCAATTGATCATTCAGGTGTGGCTAATCTTAACGTCAATTAGTTAACATATTTGTCGAGAGAAAAAAAATCAAGAATTAGCATTAAAATAATCATTCACGCGTTTCACAACTGAAAATCAAAATCACCTGCTCATAGTATCCACAATTTAACATTTTTTCACTTATTATTTGTAGAAAATATCTGATAACTTTGTTGATCATTAACTTTTGTTGAAAAATATAAATAACTACCTTCTGTGAGATTTTCCTCCAACCATATTATTTCATCTCCATAATTTAAATTCGATACCTTAAAAAATCTAATATTACTCAAATTAATTAATTGTTTTACTTAGCCAAATGGATCTACAAGATCCATAAATTAAAAAAAAGAAATTATTAAATGGTTGAAATCTATCACGTCATTAAATATCAGTCATTAATGACATACTTTTCAATCAACAAATTAATAAAGCTCAATTATACATTACATCTTACAGAGATATTACTGGTAAAACAAACATGTGATACTCTTATACCAAATATTTTTCTGCAGAGAGAGGCAATAAGCTTATAGAACATCATACCTTAACATTCCCTGCAGCCTTAATGGCCTGAACAAGGTTGAGCTGCATCAACAAGTTATGTGAACGAAAATGAACCCCAGACATGGTGCAAATGACAACATCCACTAGTTTCACTGCCTCCACTAAGCTCTGGTGATGAGAGACAGAAGCCTCCACAAGATGAGCACCTTGCTTCTTGAATGAAAGAAGCATCTGCACCTTCTCAATGTCAAGACCTATCTCTGGACGTTGAAGAACAAAGGTTTCATGACCTTGTTCTAAACTTGCCTTCACTATTCTCCTCCCAATATACCCTGTGCCCCCCACAACAAGAACCTTGCTCTTTCCCATACTCTCTCCTCTATACTCACTTTGACTCACATAATAATAACTAAGCCCAGCTTTATAAACACTTGTCATGAACTCAACTCAACCCCTTACCTTCACGTTTGCTCTTTTTGTCAATACTGGTATTTTAATATCATTTTCTTTTCTACCCACCATGAAAAAAATATATGTATATATAGAAAAGGTGTAGTTCAAGTTACTCTCTAGATGGAAACTTGTTGGCCTTGAAAATGATAAATATTAAAGGCACTCTTTAGTCTTTATTATTGATTTAATTAAGCCACTCAAAATTTACTAGTCTTTTATTAAAAGGTATTTATTACACAATGAATAGTTTATTTCTTAAAAAAGTTTAATTACTTTTAGATACTAGAGGTCTGTTAAGTTCTAGGAGAAAAAAAATTTAATAAAAAATAAAATAATTTCTTAAAAAAAATAAAACAAGCTAGCTTATGTATAAATTAATTTGTAAAAAATTTTCAATTTCCATATTAGCATTTGTAAAATATATATTTTCTTTCTAAAATTACTTTTTTAAAAATTATTCAGATAAATCTTAAAGTAATTTTAAAATTTGATATTAATAAAGTTAAATTTTAACGTTAGGGGTTGAAAAAGCCCCTCACTTACGTGAAATTATTATTAAGTATTAGATATATTACTAAAAATAAATAAATAATTGAGAGAATTTGAAAAACAAAATTTCATACACCATTACCATTCATTTATTTTCTTAATAGTAATATTTTTTGGATACCATAATATTAGCAAAAATATCCATTTCGAAATCTTAGCTGCATCAAAATTAATTATTTTTTTCAACGTTATTTTTTTATTAAATCTAAAATTTTGAAACTTAAAAATTTGACAACCAACCGCAATGCTACTTAAATTAATAAACAAACGTCAATTTGAATAGTAATATATACAACAGATCAGAATAATTTTACGTGATTATTTTTCTCTCCAACTCAAAATCATCTCTAAAATCCATTTTAAAAAGAAAAAGTATGCATTTTAAACAAAGCTCAGAGTTAAGGTAGGGTGATTTCTTAACTAATAATTGATACCAATTTCAAAAGAACGAATCAAAAGCCGATATTAACACTCATCGGCATCATGAGTCCCCAAAAGATATGTTTGTTATTATTGTCTTAGTTCTGTAAGAAATATTTTTCAAAAATGCGATTGCTTAAACGTAAATTTTAATCATTTTTTTTTTAATTTATTCGATCTGACAGTAGTCTGTAATATAAAAAAATATTATCATGTCCCACCAATATCTTCGTCTGAAGGTCAGCACTTTATACAAATAGATATTAATTGAATTAAATTTAAAGATTGAAGTGGATTAACTATTTAAAAACTGATTGTAAAAAAGAAACTATTTGAAAAACTAAAATGATACATAATTAGGTGATAAAAACGACTATGGTGTCATTCTGACGCAGTAATGATCCAATCTTGTTTAATCATCTCGATTTGATGTTTTTTCCGCGTATTATATCTCTGGCTCAAAATTATGACTAATATATATTAGCATCACTATTTTGCTCTAAAATTATTTATTTTGCTCATACTCACTTGTCACTCTTATAAAAATAAAGTAACACTTTTAATCACAAATTTATGTTTAAGACGAATCGATTCTCAATTGAAATTATCAATATTTTATAAATTTCAAGAATCTGGAAAAGATATTTTTAATTTTAAACGTCTTAATAACAACATATTCCATATATTTTTTTATGTAATATATATAAACCTGAATTAAAATAATTATATAGTATTTTTATGACATAATTAATACAGTATCCTTATAAATATGGAAATAAATTGATTTTTTTATCTAATATTAATTATTGTATTTAAAAATAAATGTAATGTATTTAATAAATGAGTGATATTTATTTGTGTTATTTTTTTATTTTGAAAATTAGAAAAAAAATATTCACATTAACTAAGAAAGTTAGTTTTTTTTTTTTGGTTCGTTCTTAGAGTATCCACCGCCGACAACAGTGACTAATCTCCTCGCTACAGGGATTCGAACCCCTAACCTTGCTTAAGCGTGGATCAACCCCTACCGCTGAACCACACGCTTGAGGTTAAGAAAGTTAGTTAATGTTCTTAAAAAAAATAAAATAAAATAAATCAATATCATTTAATAACACTTTTATTAACCAATCTAACATTTGGATTTACAAAATTCACATTTAATATAAAGTTATTGAGCGGTGTAATACTTAGTAAAAGTTACATCGGTGTTATTATAACCCTTATCATTTTAAAATATATAAATTATTATTTAAACTTTTAAATTTATAATAAATAATTTAAATTGTATCATAATATTAATTTTAAATAAAAATAAGTAGATTGTTAATTATAAAAGTAAGTATATATAAATAAAGATTAATTAAATATAATATAATTATTATTATTGGTAATATAATTATTATATATTTTTATAGCGGTCCGGACACACCGAAATGAGAGGGATCCAAAAATAGTAGAAGTATGAGATTGTATAGTTGAAGATGACTTAAATGAATTAATTTGTACTACTTATATTGACAACATGCATCTGCTTTTTAGTAGCTTATCTCATTAGAATTCTACAGTTAAACGTGCTCGACTTTGAGTAATATAGGGATGAGTGACCTTCTGGGAAATTTTCCAAAAATTGTGCAATAAGGACAAAACACGTTGAAAAGAGAAGTGTCGTGAAATAACATTCTTGAGAGGCCAAATATGAGGATTGTTATATTAATAAATTTATTAAAATTAAACAAAAATTTTCCTACTGAAATATTCGTGGATAAGTTATCTACAGAAATAATCTGTAGATAAGTCTTTTAAATCTTATCATAGATATAATCCATAGATAATAACTTCCGTGGGTAATTCGTAAATATGTTCGTATATAAGGTTATTTACGGATAAACTTTTTGTAGATAACGTTATCTACGACCTTATTACCTACAAATTTTTTGTTGTAGATAATTAAGACTTATCTACGAATTTTCATGCTTATCTATGAATTTCTTCCGTAGATAATCTTGATTTTTTTTGTAATGATAGAGGAAATGATTTGTGAAAAGCATGTGAGGAATTTTGAAAAGGTAGCTCGACATGTGAAGTTATTTAGTCTGGACTTTCCTCGTGTTAAGCTAAACATTGACTTTGATGTTTACAAAGGTGAGTTAGTGAATGAGACAAACATCCTAAATAAGGATGAGGTAGCGTGTGATGAGTAGGAGATAGAGGCTTATTTTGAGGCTTTAGTGATGGAGAAGGAGGTGATTGTGGAGCAAGATGAGGAAGCATCTTTGCTAGAGGGGGTATGGTTATTTCTACTGCTAAGAAGGGAAATTTAGCTGGGTAGGTTACAATTGAAATTTTGGTTGTTGACAGGATTGAGGTAGATTGAGTAAGCAAGTGGTTGATATTGGAATAGTTGGGAAGAAGGTAAACAAGTAAATGGTTGACATGTTTCTTGCTTGAGGATTTGATAGTTGTTTAATGTAGTTGTTGAACAATATGTTTAAGTTATTTGAGGACTTTTTTTATGTTGATATTTGCTTGTCTATTGTTTGTGTTTGTGAGATTTTGTATAATGTGTGAGAGAGTGCCTATTGGTAATAGCACAAAAGTTCTATTGTTCACAATTGAACTCGAGAGTTTGTTGTTATGTGTTTAAGTTATGAGATCTCCTTTGCTCTAAAATTGCACTGGAATTTAGAAATTGTGTGAGAGTTGTGAGAGTTCATTTGCTTAAGAATTGTGTGTAAACTTGAAAGTTCGTGTAAGGGTTACGAGAATTTATTAGCTCGAGAATCGCATGTGAACTCAAAATTTCGTATTAAGATCGTGAGAGTTTATTATAATTGAGAAGTATAATACACCTACAAAATATGGAAATAAAAAACGATTACTAAATTATTTATTCCTTTATATAACATTATACATAATATGTATTAATTTTAGTGATAAATATTATTAAATATTATATTTATCAAATATAATATATTTATTATATTTATCAAATATAATATATATATTTATTATATTTAATTAATATAACATTTGGTTATTAAATGTATTACTTTTCCTATGAATCTACACTAGTCAAAATATATTACTAAATAAAATAGTCATAAAAATAAATTTAACATCTAAACGTATATTTACCAACATTAAGCATATTCGTAAATCTTAAATTCTAAATTCTAAAATATTTATTGATGTTCGGTCGTCTAATTGATGTTACAGTTAGTATAAAAGAAAATAAAAAAATGTAAATATATTTACAAAACAGTTTAAATTTACTGATGTTTATAATCCGGATCTTTTTGACTAAATGAGTAAAAACAAGAACTTTCATATCATTCTGAATTTCTGATGCCCGTGATTGCGGTCTCTTTTGATTATCTTGGGTTTGATATTTTTCTGCATATTATATTATATTATATTATATTATATTATATTATATTATATTATATTATATTATATTATATTATATTATATTATATTATATTATATTATATTATATTATATTATATTATATTATATTATATTATATTATATTATATTATATTATATTATATTATATTATATTATATTATATTATATTATATTATATTATATTATATTATATTATATTATATTATATTATATTATATTATATTATATTATATTATATTATATTATATTATATTATATTATATTATATTATATTATATTATATTATATTATATTATATTATATTATATATTTAAGATGTGGACGGTCGGGGAGGTGATGAATTTTGTTCAGCAGTTTGGTGATATTTTTACTTCATCACATCTTGAATTAGAAAGCTTTAAATTTTATATTTTAGTTTTGTCCACTTTGAATTGGTAACATAGGAAAACTGAAGAGAAAAGAACTCAAGTTATTGACCAACGTTGCATATGAAAATCATAGCAGTTGGGTTATCTATTCCATAAATGAGAAACGGAAACATACATAATCATGATAACATCATATAACAATTTTTTTAAAATTATCAAGAAACTAAATATAAGATATATGAATAATATCTCATTACTTTAATAATAACTTTTATTATCAT